GGTGGAAAGCCTCCCGAATGTCAACGATGTTTAGGGCTCACCGATACTAAGTGCCCCGTGGTACTGGAATCTTCAGCCTCATCTCGCTCGGCGTTCGAAGCCTCGTCTCAGGTTCTTCGGTGTCACGGCTGTGGGTTCCGGTGTCATCCCCATTGTACATACCCTCCACTTCGGTGCCCTCCGAGGAAAATTCGACACTGGCTGTGCGATACGTGTGCTCAAGAGCGGCATGCCAAGATCAAAGTGCCGATGCACTACAACTTCTGCATCGTCTGCGGTACTGGTGGGGACCTGGTGAACAAGTGTGTCACCTGCCGACACACGGTAACGTAGCGTCGGGTTCACTGCTGTCGAAGCGATCTTTCGACTCGTGTTTCCCGTTCTTAGTCCCACGCCAAATGCGAGCCTCTACACCAAGGGCGATGTACACTATGTGCGAGGAACTTGAGTGAACGCACCAAGAGGCTCGAACTGGTGAGCGCAGTCATGGCCTTTGGCGAAACGCTCCGCATGAGTCGGGACGATGTGTTGTACGACATCGTCAGCGAGGGAATCGTATCTTCACAAAATTTCCTATCCTTTCAGTATAACTGGGCGATGATACTCGCTCGACAGAAAGAACGAAGGATTCCTGTGATTCAAGGAGAGCGTATTGAATTTGACGCCAGCGGTACTAAGTTGAGGGGAAGTATATGGGGAACTAGCGAGATAATCCACGCTCTCACGGAGAAGCTCGTTGTCACTAGAGGAGGTACCGGCTCGACAGACATTGCTCTATGCATTGATGACCACGGGTGCTTCAATCTTTCGAGGTTCTGTCGTTCGTCTTCGAGGGCGATACACTCCTGTTACGGCGGAGTCAGCGTGCGGAGGTGCTGCCCATGGAACTAAGGAGTGCCCTCATCCGCGAGTTATGGAGTTATTCGAGAACGGTCTCCCATGGGACAGATGGCAGTGCATTTTAAGGTAGGATCGTGCATGGTGCGCTTGTGTCGGAGACTGATTGTGCATGCGTGCTGCACAACTCTTCGAAAGAACACGTGACGTGCATATGAGATTCGAGTGACGTGCGGTCGAGGATGAGGTGTTTTCGAATTAGTTACTGTCAATCCCACGGGAGCTCTGACAGCGGCATTCCGACTTGGCTCGAGGAACTACCGTCGCCGCGCATCCTGGAGAATCGAGTTTCCCGAATATCTTCCCAGACGAGAAAACGGCCCCGGCAATCTCTGGTCTGCGACAACCCGTCGGCAGCGGGTTCGCGAAGGGCATCTGCTGCCGGGAGCAGCGGAGATACTTCGTTCGATCAATTCATGTTGCAACTGCATGTGGCGCGAAATCAAGGCACCTCTAGGCCGGGTAGTCGGCAGCACAGCGTGTCCGGTAGCGTAGGGCAGACCGTGGTAGCTCCAGTGGAGACGAAGAAACGATCGATAGCTGCGACCAGTCCCACTCGACGGCTGAGTGTGAAGGAACGCGAGCTGGAGGGGAGTGATTTCTTAAAGGGTGATCCAGCGGATATCGTCGAGAATCAGCAGTCCGAATCGATCGCGGAATGG